AGGGGGCCGAAAAGCGTCCTGGCTAGCGTCCCCGAATCGCGTGCTTTGAATTCCCAGGGAATCGTGGGACACGTAAAAACACATGAGATTCGCGCCCCCGATGCCCCGATCGCAAGACGCGCACATGGGGGGGCGCCAGCCGGGCCGGGCGGCCCCCCCCAGTCGCGGCCCTCCCCCGCGCCCTCGATCGACCGAGCCGGGCCTGTCGCTCGCGGTCCCAGAGGCCGCGCTGTCCGAGGGAGATCGGCCCGGCCAGCCGGCGCCTTGACAAAGAAAATCCCGGCGGAGGTCCTTCGTCGCTGTCGGCCTCTGAGGGCCCTCACGGGGCCCGGGGGCCGCGAAGGAACGACCCGCGGCGAGAAGCCGGCCGCGGGGAACGGGTCGGGTCGGGGCTTCCAGGGGCCCCGCACTGAAGAAACCAGACATCGCACGTCTCGGGATCGGGCAGGCTCAGGGGCTGGCAGAGGGCGGCAGGGCAGTGGGCGTGGCCCTGTGAGATGGAGGGAAAGGCACCCGGCGACCATGACCAGCCCTGAACGCGGAAACGTCGGCGTCGATCTTGGTCACCGTCCAGCCTGGTCACCGTCAATTCGTGGATAATCTTCGCAAATCGGCGACGGCCGGCTTGGACCGTGCCCAAGACCGGCGGCAACAAGATGCTGCGACCACTCGGCCTTGGTCATCGTGCCTCTTCCCTCGAGGTCAGGGTGCGCCTGAGCAGGGATCGGAGGCTTCGGGGCCTCCTCCAGAGGGCGCGCAGCTAGGTCAAAGGGCTTCTGAACAGCCCCCTGCCTGCTCAGACTTGGGCGCCCGAGTTATCCGGGGTAACTCGGGTCCGGGGTAAGTCGGGTTTGGATTCCCGAAAAAGGAACCCGAGTTAGCCCTGACCCGAGTTATCCCTGATGATTCGGGGCTCTGGACGCCCGAGTTATCCGGGGTAACTCGGGTCCGGGGTAACTCGGGTTTGGATTCCCAAAAAAGGAACCCGAGTTATCCCTGACCCGAGTTACCCCTGATGATTCGGGGCTCTGACAGACGGGCCGCCCCCCTCTCGGGTGGGACGAAGGGGGGGCACGGCAAAGGGGGGAGTGTAGAGGGACAGGCCCGACTTCACGGGAGCCCGACCGTGCCGGCTGCTGGAAACAATACCCGGGCGTGCCAATCTGGGGGTGCCCAGGCGCAGGCGCACGCCCCGAGAGTGAGGGCCAAGAGCACGCGGAGGGACGAGGACGGGGCAGGCAGGGGACAAACGCCAGAGAAGGAAGTACGGACCCATACGGTGGGGGGGCCTTGGATGAGGAAGCATTGCATAAGGAACCCAGGGTCTGGAAGCAGATGGAACTCCAATCGTGGATTGGCCGTGGATATCACCGCCGCCCTCATCAGATAAGGAGCCCTCCAGGGTCGTCTGCAGCCTCCTGGGCACACTCCTCGACGAGCGCCCCCACTGTATCTCCTTGAGTTTAGCGATCTGGCCCCCGAGCGTCACCATGGCGACCCGGGAGGCCGGGCTGCTGAGCCGAACGAGATCGGCGCGCCGGAACAACAAAGCCCTGCAGGTAACAACGGCCACCTCGGTGGCCATTCCTCGGTGGCCATTGCGACGCTCAAGGGTTGGGCCATCGTTAGACTGAAGGAGCTCGGCGTCCGTGGAGGAGCCACCCGCGTCCGGGAGAGGGGGAGGAGGAGGAGGAGGAGGAGGAGGAGGAGGAGGAGGAGGAGGAGGAGGAGGAGGAGGAGGAGGGAAGAGGAGGAGGAGGAGGAGGAGGATGGAGAGGAGGAGAGGATGGAGGAGAGGAGGAGGAGGAGGAGGAAGAGGAGGAGGAGGGGGGAGGAGGGGGGGAGGAGGGGAGGAGGAGGAAGAGAAGGGGACGAGACGAGGAGACGACGACGAGGAGGATGAGGGGGAGGAGAAGGAGGAGGAGGCGGAGGAGCAGGAGGAGGAGGAGGGGGGCACCTCGCGCCACCTGCGGCCATGCCATCTGCGGTGCTCGTCGGGAGCAGGCCCGCGTGATGCGCAGGCCACGCGGCAAGGCGGCCGGGGGCCCAGGCGGCCCAGCACGGCACGGCGCCTGCTGCCAGCCAGGGCAGCACCGCAAACCTTCGGCGGGGGAGGGGGCAGACGACGACAAGGGTCAACGCAAACAACCCCGCAGGCAGCTGCCATCTCCAGCATGAAACGCCGAGTTGCGCTGGCCACTCCAACCGACCAGGCCAGGGACTCACGGAGGGACGGCCGGATCGTGGAAGGCCGCTTCGGACTCTAACCCAGACTTGGCAAATCTGCACTCCAAATCCACACCCCCGACGTCATGATTTTTGTATAACGTCGACCCCCGGAGGTTTCGCCCCACTCCCCAGGACAAGTTTTCCATCCCAGATCGATAACGACAACAAGTGAGTGAGAACGATAGTGAGATCCATCGAGTGGCATTGGTACTGAGATCGAATGTGAGATCCATCGAGTGAGATCGATAGTAAGATCGGTTGTGCGATCGGT